TGTGCGCTCACAGGGCGCCCCTCGCCCTTTGGGGAGCGAGCAGTGCCGGCTCCCTGCCCCAGCCCCGACCCCAACCCCTGCCCCCCGGGGGGGGGCCAGATGCACCGCGCCCGGGGGAGCGCGAAAGGTGACCACGTCGGAGAGGGGAGAGGAGGAGGGAGAGAAGCGGGAGGAGAGGGGAAAGGAGGGAACTCCGATTTTTCTTAGGAAATCGCTGCAAGACATCGTTTTTAAGCTGCGGCTCCTGTTTGCTCGCTCTGCAACTGTAATCACAGGAAAGCTTATTCTGAGCTCTTAGTCCCGGGGGAAACGAGAAGAGAAAGAGAAAATCGCTCTTCAAAACTTTCCAGGCTTTTCCCATTTTTGTCAGGAAAAAAAAAAACAACTTTCGACAAAGCCCGTTTGGAGGGTCAGCTCCAAAGGGCCCCCGGCGCTTTCCCGAGCCTTGCCGGGGGAGGCGGGGAGTGGCAGGGCGGGGAGGGACGGAGCGCCCGTGCTGCCGGGCCGGCCGCCGCAGACCGTGGGTATTTTATCAGGTCGTGGTGCCCCCAGTCTGCGCAATACATCTGGCATTTTCGAGGATATTTTAGCGTCTTCATATTAAAGACAGACTAGATACAAATGAATAAAATATAGCAGGCTGTGGGAGGTTTGGGGTCTAATTCACAAAGGGAGTATTCGGAATTCTTTACAGGTGCTTCTGTGTTCAGCAAGCTTTCAGCCATTGATTTACTGACCTAAAAAAACCCCATCAAACTCCATTCCAACAAGTGAAAGAAGAAATTACGATCACAGGAACACACTTTAAAAAAAAAAAAAAAAAGAAAGAAAGAAAAAGAGATCTTTTTGAAGTTTCAGCATCCTTCTAAGCTATTTTCCACTTGTCAGGCTCTATCCACATCCAAAACCCATCATCCCCGTGCAAACGGAGTCTCGTTTAAGTAGAAGAAAAAAAAGCCGGCCCAATTCGTGTTGCAGATGAATATTTGCTGCAATTTACGAAATAATTCCAGTCTCAACTCTGCCTAAGTTTACGGGTCCCCCCTTTTCCCGCCACCTCTGGGTGGAGACTTATTTACACAAAGTATTCTACACAAATTACCAGCAACAGATCCCCTCAGAGGACAATATTGTGCATTTCTGAGAAGGAATGACAAGTTCCATTAAAAATAAAAAGAGAAACTATCACACTTTTAAACGGTTTCCCTTTAAAAGGCACAAAATCAAAGGCTTTGCAATAATTTACTAGTTTACAAACTTTTACATCAACGGGCAACCTTGTCTGATTTCCAAGACCAACGGCACTTACTATCGTATAAATTAGTCGATTATTGGTTTAGTAAATAGTTAAGTAGATAAATTAGTTGAAGCAAAGAAGCCAAAGGTTCTTCAGGGAAGATCTCTTAAGCTTCAGTTGCAGGCTCTAAACAAAAATTAGAAGACCAAAAAATCGGAGGGCAATTATTTTGAAAACGAATTTTTAAAAATACAGTTAAAGACGGTTTATTTAGGAAGTCAGGGAACAGTAAGACTTTCTCAGGCTGCACTCCCATCCAGGACAGATGCCGCTGGTTCAGTTTACAGGTCCTTTGAATCTGAACATCTGCCCTGCACAGGGAGACAGCGGAAGGACAATTAAAATCTAATCCCTCCGAAAAGGAGACGTTTTGAAACGGGCAAGATGCATATTTTATGTATGTTTTAAAGCTCAACTGTTACTCGCGAGAACACTACATACACCTTTCATCAGCCTTCACCACTGGGACTACTACTGATTTTTGCACTGTTTCCAAATTATTCAGCAATTAGTTAAACCAATAGTAGCTGGCAATTTTGTTGCCGAGGTGCGTTTGCCAGTTAGAGATGCGCCTTTTCTCCCTGCCATTTTCAGTGCAAACCACTCAATTTCGCCGCTATTGTTACTCTGTTTTTGGGCGCAGAACACCCGCAGCCTCACCCTCCCGGCGTGGTCACCTCCCCCGCACCCGAAGCCCTCGGTGCTGGAAGATCACCAGTACAGCCCGAGACCCTCACCACCACCACTGCGCTTCCCCTCGGTCCCCCCCCCGCAGCCTCTCCCCCTCTGTGCGAGGCGGAACGGCAGAAGCGCAGCGCAGCCCGGTGCTGCGAGCCCGGGGCAGGCGGGGCGCGCAGAGGTGCGGCTCGAAACAAACCGCAGCAAACTTGGCCTTTACCTAACGCCCTCTCGGGGAAAAAAAATGTTAAAGGCAAATCTGCGCCCTATGGGACATGTCTGAACTTCGTAGGTTAAAAAAGAAAACATGCTCGAAACAGCGGAGCCGTGCAGACGATACTGAAGCAGCACAAGGATAGAGGCAAACGAGTTTCGTCTCCAGGGTCTAACGGGACGGCTGAGCGCACAGCTTAGGGAAACTCGAGTCTGAAGTCAACCCCACCTCAGCCTTGAATTTTTCTAATAAAAATCAAGATCTAAGGATTTTCTTTTGTCCAAACGCTTTCCTGTTGCACACAAGGAGCAGTGCTGGAAGACCCAGTGATCACAGCCGTTCTGGTGGGCAGTTAAATGGACGAAGAGCG